TCAAAAAATTTTCATTTTTATACAGAATTCGCAAATTTCGCCCCACCCCCCCCCCCCAATTTTTTACAAATATTTTGTCCCTCAAAAAAATAACCTGCAGAAAACTAGCCCCAGGGAAGCGATGCTGCAATATAACAATACTTCTCTGTCTAGAAATATTTCTCAAGAGGTTAAAACTGTCCTGCAGATAACCTGTTAAGGGCTTATGACCGCTTCATAAAAAGAGGATTAAAACTTTGTAACTTGAGAAAGCTGGTACTCTGTATGCTAGTCAAGAGGTCAGAAACTTGAAGGAGCACTGCATGCATTATTCCTCGTAAAGGATTGTACTGCAGCTAAGGTGAAGGCTGCTGTCATGTGCTCCTTTTTATAAAAATATTGCTCTGTTTTTATTGGATCCGTGTTTAGGGCTGTACACCTGCGGAGATTGTCCAATCTCTTCAGCTTTCCATGAGCTCAAGCTCTAAAAATAAATTTGTTTGTTTCTTGGTTTCAAGGTTTTTGGTGGTTTTAAAGTTACAGTAACTGGAGGTAATTTTGTACCTATAGTGTGGAAGGAGATGATGTGGATATTAGTTCAGTGAAGAATATTTTATCTGTTAAAACTACAAAGCAGTATGAAGACTGTGTTTCAGATGCATCTATTCTCTGGTGACGGAAGGGATATTTCATTTCTGACATGTTGTATAAAACACATGCAGACTAAATTACAAAAAAATATTGATACTCTTCTCCATCTTTATGGAATTGGTTTGTTTCTACCATTTATTAGTTTGATTTTTTTTTTCCCTTTTATTCGTGGTTAATGTAATATGTGGGCTCTGGTACTGCAGACACTTAAATGCTATTTTAGTATGAGTAATCCCTTGAAAGTTGATTAAACTTTTCATATAATTAAGGTTCTTGTGTAATCTTATGTGCTTGCAAGAATAAGATTTGGGTCAATATTTAATATTTCCAGAGACTTTTATGTTTTCCTGGAAGTAATTTAGAATTGTATCTAATTGCTAAGATCCTGTTTCACAATACAGTTATTTCCAATATATATTGGACGTCTGTAATCTTTCAGATTGCTATAAAAGGGACTAAAATTTATTGTTTTCTTGAAAATGCTTTCTGCTGTGTTAGTGCCACAGAGTTCAGGCTTTGTTTTTTTCCAAAGCTCACAGAGAGTGCCATTTACTGCTGTAATTCACACCTCTTTTCTTATGCTCTTTCCTTTCCCTCACCATTATTTTTTTTTCCTGGAAAACCCAAATCAGATTGTTATGTGATGACAGAGATTTGCCTCTTTTTCTCATCTCTTAGTACTGCAGGAAGCACAGTTAGCAATGAGTATTAGTAGTCTCCTAGCATACATTTTAATTCACGAAGTCCATTAAAAGCGGCACTGTGTGTTCTAGAAGGATTTCTGTGTCATACATCCATAGCTGGGGGCATGCTTTAAATAAAAGAGGAAGATTCAACACAGTTTTTCTCAGTCCTGGTTTTGAGCAAGTACAATTCTGTGGAACATAGTGGCAATAAACAGCTTGTCCATCATATTGCATTTTGGGTATGCATTATATGATGTCTTGTAGTTCAGACTTCTCAGGCAGCTGTCTGAGAACAATCATTGCGTCAGGTCTGTCTCAAAAAAAAAAATCACATAGCATTAGTTACTTTTTGAGTACATTTTGAAATATTCTGACAAAATGTCTTAAAAGCTGAATTTGCCTTAAAAGCTTGAGTTAAATTTATTTTCTCTGTCATAAAATGTTTCATATCTTCTGCCTTCCATGCTTACATTGCAACGTTTCCATCTGGATTGTGATCACTTACACATTTCTATATGAATGGATAAACCTAATATTCTACCTGGCAGAGATCTAATTTTAGTATTTGAAAAGGTAAAGAAATGTAATAATCTTAATACTGAATGAAAGTTTCAAACAACCATTAAATCCTAATAAGAGGGCCAGGGTAAGCATTTGAGCGTGTGTAAGTGATGTGAAGTACATGTTGTCAGTCTTAAAATTACAGTGTACATCTGATGATTATTACATAGAATCACAGAATGGGTTGGGTTGGAAGGGACCTATGAAGATCATGTAGCTCCACGCCCCCCTGCCCTGGGCTGGGACATCTTACAGTAGATCAGCCCCATCCAACCTGACCTTGAAAAATTCTAATGATGAGGCATCCACAGCTTCTCTGAGCAACCTGTTCCAGGGTCTCACCACCACCAGAGTAAAGAATTTTTTACTTACACCTAATCTGAATCTACTCTCTTTCAGTTTAAAACTGTTAACCCCTTGTCCTGTCACTACAGGCCCTGGTAAAAAGTCTCTCTCTGGCTTTCTTGTAAGCCCCCTTTATATATTGAAAGGCCACAATAAGGTCTCCCTGGAGCCTTCTCTTCTCCAGGCTGAACAACCCCAGCTCTCTCAGACTGTCCTCATAGGAGACGTGTTCCAGCCCTCTGACCATTGGCTGTGGGCCTACTCTGGACCTGCTCTAACAGGTCCACGTCTGTCTTGTGCTGGGGACCCCAGGCTGGATGCAGTACTCCAAGTGAGGTCCCTGGACCTGCTGGCCACGCTTCTTTTTATGCAGCCCAGGACACAATTGCCTTTCTGGGCTGCAAGTGCATGTTGACAGCCCTTATCTAATTTTTCATCAACCAGTACCCCCAAGTCCTTCTCTGCAGGGCTGCTCTCAATCCATTCATCCCCCAGTCTGTACTGAAGCTGTTGATTCCCCTGACCCTGGCGCGGGGCTTTGCACTTGGCCTTGTTGAACTTAATGAGGTTCACATGGGCCCACTCCTCAAGCCTGTCAGGCTCCCTCTGGATGGCATCCCTTCCCTCTAACTAGTCCACTGCACCACTCAGCTTGGTGTTATCTGTAAACTTGCTGAAGGTGCACTCAATCCCACTATCTGTCATTAATAACGATATTGAGCATGATCACGTGCTTTCCATAGCATTCGGTAGTTTTTCTAAGGCTTATTAGATACAGCTGGGAGCAACTGCTGCAGCACAACATGTTACGTGTCAGCTTTTCTTCCTATTGGCTGTCAATACAAAGCATACAGCTACAGTATGTGTGAAACACATGTTAGGGATTCAGGCTATAAAGTGTGGAGTACATGGAGTTTTACATAGCCTCGTTAAATTAATTTGTATTTGCTGAGGGTGTGACCATGTGAATCTCCCTTAAACCGGCAACAAGGTTTCATCAGTTTCACCTTCAGATTGCTATGTTAGATTGCTCCTATCTGAGGTACGGGAATATGTGCTAGTCCCTTTATAACTCAGTTGCTCATTTACAACATGGAATGTGCCTCTTGGTGGCTTACAGAACTGTTCTGTTCATCTGTAGAATGCTGGTGACAAGGAACCCTGGGTTTTGTCCGTACCTCAGAGATGAGTGGTTTGTACTTGACAGAGGTGACTTATTTTCTGTGGCACAGCAACGGGAAATTTAAAATGGGAACTCTTCACTTTGGCTTGGGGCCTGTAAAAGTCTTGTATTGTTTAGTACCACTCTGAAGATGATAATCCATTTATCAGTTTACTAAATGACATTTAAAATAGCCAATAGGAATCAGCAGTTCCTCTGTCAAAATGAAATCTGTGAACAATTAGTCACTGCTATGCAATAAAAAAGTACGTCCAGCAACTGGGTGTCTCCAGAAATTACATGATCATAGTGTGTTCCTACAGTTGGCCTTTAGAATACTACAAAAATAGTCTTTTGAGTAGTCATTTATACCATGGCTGTAGTTCTTGAAGATATATTTGTGTGTGAATGAATTAATCTTGGGTCTCCAAATTCTGTTCATTCCAGTCATTATCCTTCCATAATCTTGTAGTGTTTATCCAATAGGATTCTACAAGACTAAAGTAATGTAGTAACACATATTACTTTTCACCAATAATTTTATTATCTTAAAGTCAAAATTTATTGATGACTCTTACTTATCATGATTTCTGTTTCTTTACAAGCTGGCCGTGGAATTCCCATCAGAAGACATTTTTTTAGTGACAGCTTCTCCAGTTATAAAAGCTATAACGAATTTCAAACAGGTAAGAGAGACTGAATTTTTCTTATGGTAAGACCTCTTCAGAAGTTTGTATATGTACAGATATTTTAGTACCTAATCCTGAAAATGCTTATGATTTTGAACTTGTTTTTGCATTAGTGTGACTGCAGTGGTAAGTGTTGGTAGGACTGATGAGATATCTTATAGTGATTCATGATCATTAGTAATTGGTGAGTATATTCACAACATTCGAGCAAAGGTTAAACTGGGTACTTACGTGGTTAAGTATTTTCTAAGTTACTGAAGCTTTATTTCACTGCTTTGTTAGTGGGTATACTCCATTTTAAGCACCGAAATGGTATCTTCGGAATAAATTACTTGAGAAACTTAATCTTGCTGTTGGTTCTCATATATAGTAGTGTGTTTGAATTTGGGGCAGAAACAGACTTTTGACAAGTAACAAAAAAAGGGATAGCCTTCTGTGAAATTGCCTTCAGCTTTATCTACATCTCCAGCAGCTGATGATTCAATGACCTCTTTCCTGCTCGTTTGAAAAAAGAAAATAAAATCCATGCATGAGTTCAGATTTCTGGCTAGTGGGTTCATTAAACTAGTTTTGCAGAAGTACTCAGATGTGGGAAAGCACTGCTCTTTTTCCCACTCTGAGGGAACTTTAAGCTCTGCCATATGGCATGGAAAGAGTTGGAGACTGGATTGCACAGAACTCAGGATGCAAAGCTGCCAGCCAGTAAGAAGTTAGGTTTTACCTAAAGGGAAAGTTAGGTTTTACCTCAGACAAAATTACGACACTTAGACCTGGGCTTCCACTTGGCATTTATATTCGTGACTCTTTCTGAAACATGGTATCTAACAGGAGAGGCATATGTCATGGCAGGTAAAGGAAGACCACTCTCTGGTTTATCTGACAGCGCAGTTTTGGCGTAATTCTTACTGGTGTATGAAAGCCTGATTCAGATCATTACAGGGGGAAAATAAAGCATAGAGAGACTTGAATAGCAGTTCTTTGCATTGAGTGGCTGTAATTGGCTATCAGCATCTCTTCCTTTTCACACTGTTGTTTTTGTCCGGGGCTAATGGGGTTCTCGGAACACAGCTGAGAGACTGAGAGCTTGGATGTGAGACTGGTAGAGTAACATCCAACTAAAGAATATCTTCAGAGTTTGAGAGCGCTGACAGTAGGGTCATGAGTATCCCGGAAAGACACACCTTGCAGAAAAGTAAAGTCTGTAATTCGCATTAGCAGAAGCTTCGGTATCTGAAGAATAAGGGAATAGCTAAACAGTATTTGAAGGCAGCATCTCTAAGTTTTGGACATGCGCATCTTAATTTCTCTCTGAATTGCAAGCATGGCGTGGCTTCTGGTTCCTAGCTGTGTTCCAGACTCTTTGAATATTCTATTAAGTAGAAGGCCTGGAGGTTCCCATGCAGCTGCTCCCTTCTGGAAGAAACCCCAAATCAACATAACTTACTTGAATGTTTTCTGAGTTCTGGTTTGCCTGTTTGGCATTTGGTTTTGGGGTGTGTGTGTCCCCCAATCTCTGAAATAGTGATAGTGACTACGGATGAGATGCTGAGTAAATGCTTTGAGGTGGTCTTGAATCTATTTTGCCTAAACACTTGTCTTATACATCCTGCTTACAAGCTGAACAACTACCTGCAACAAGAGTTTTTTGAATCATTAGGTTTTTGAAGAAAATGTCACCAGTTTTTTTGTTGTTTTTTTTTAAATAGAAGAAAAATACTTATTCCAGACAGAAGTGTGTTTCCATAATTCTCTAAGCTATTTGACCAAATTTTTTTTTTCCCAAAGTACCAAGGAGAGGAAGCTGCTTACATGGGGGAACACCGTTGAGTTATTTTATCAAAATTATAACAAACAGAAAAACAGGGTCTTAACACTGCATCAGGTAAGTTAAAAAGCAGTGTTTCCAAGTCTACTAATATAGTCTATATATGGAATAAAACATAATAGCAGTTAGAGCAGCTGTCAGGGTTCTCCATTTTTGCTTAATCTCTAGCTTCAGAGTTAAAATTCTCTGTGATACTATGAATCCTTACCAGGAATAGGCATGAAAAGATTCTGTATATAAAAAGGAACTTCTAGCAGTAACATGATAACATGTTTTAAGACAGTATGGGCTTTATGTTGTGACTTCTTTACTGGAAGTGAACAGAACACATTTTGTTACAAGCTTTAGAAAAAGAAATGGATAAATGATCCATATTTTTAAATACCTGTCTTCTTCCTACAGGTCTCCAAAACACTTGAGGAATTTGATGTAGAAGAGCAACCAAGTTCTCTGTTAGAAAAACGATATCCCAATATTAAAGTTATACAGTCTGGAGTAAAACAATTGAAAAGTGATGAGCGTGTAAGTTAATGTTTTCTCTTTTCTGTGTTTTTTCAAATTATTTGGAAAAAAAAAAATCTAAGAAAGGTGGCTATTTTGGGCATGAAATTCTCTTGAAGAACATTCTGGTTATTAAAGTGTTAAGTTACCAAAAATTCAAGAAAATACTTCCTAACTTTAATTTCACTTATCACTTACACTGTTGTTCAAGTAGAAGTATATGCAGGGGACATAAATGTTGATCAAAAATTACTTCTTAATTAAGAAACCTATGTTTTAGATTTAAACCTTTGACTCCTTACAGATATTGCATTGAATACCTGATTGGAACAGCAGGGAAACCAGTCAATGAAACCAATACTTTACCAAAGAACAGAATCTGCGGTCTTTCTAAACTGTATTCTAGCCTGTGCCTAGTTAAGTTAACACAGGTCTACTGTTGTTGAAATGTTTTGAATGAGATTCTTAATTGCTAATATACGGTAGTGCATAGGTCTACAGCTGTTACTGGGCAGGGGGGCACATTGTCACATGGAAGACCGATTCTTTTAGCGGAGATAGTGAGTACAGAGTGCCACCAAGTGGTAATCTTCATATTTCATCTTTCTTTGAGTGCACTGTGTACACTTTCCATTTTATCCATCATCTAATGTCATATATTTAGGCTTGTAAGTCTGTGGTGAGTGTAATGCAAATAAATGACACACAGTCAATGAGAGTATGAAGGCTTGCTCTTTAAGACGCCAGTTACGGCTTTTAATATCTACAAAACACTATGACATTAAAGAAAAAAAAGCTGATGTTCTCTTAATGTCTCCAGTTGTTTTTTCTTTTTTTTAACATTTCTAAATGTTTTAAAATTTTCTTAATTTTTAACAGAAAATTTTCACTGAGGATGGGAAAGAATATATGTATGAAAAACTTTGCTTGTGTGCTGGAGCAAAACCAAAATTAATTTCTGAAGGAAACCCATATGTGTTAGGAATCCGGGATACTGACAGTGCGCAGGTAAATGTGTTTTGGACTTACAAATGTGTAATGTATTCTTACTTCTGTTGCAAAATACTAAAAATGATTGCAGAGTGAAATGGAGATACGTAAGATGATATTTGTTATTATATATCCTTAAATAGGAACACTTTCAGTAGCAGAGGAAATAGCCTTAAATACCATTAAATAAATTAATTAGTCACTAAATTTAAGTTTATAGATAGCTCATAGACAATATTTCTAACATGATAATCTAGAATAAATGATATTCTTTTACCCTCCAGGCAGAGGCCAATCTGAAAATGCAAACAGAGCGCAGGCTCCTGTAGGAAGTTCCCTGAGAAGGTGTAGCTGGTACACAGTATGAAGGGCTACTTCTTAGAGTGAAAAGCTACTGAAGGATGCTTTTTTCTAGTTCTACTGTTGCCTGTCCTCATTGTACTGAAAAAGAGTTGCAGTTATAGTCACAGATGTGGAAAAGTTTTCACATGAGGAATGACTTAATAGACTAAAACTTCAGCTTGGAAGTAGAAAGTGAGGTTTCACTGCTATGGGTCTTTAGAATTAGAGGAGGCAGGGTGAAAGTGAACACTGCTTCTCCATAACATAAGGGCTGTAATTCATCAAATGAAGTTTGATGTTGAGAATAAAACGGGAGTTGATTTTCCAAGCAAACTGAAGTGAAACTATGAAATAGTTGTTGTTTGTTTTGAATATTAAAACTTTACCCGAGTTTAAAAAAAAAGAAAGAGAAGAAGAGGGAAGAAAAAACACACAAAAAAAGACAGCCCTTGAGAAATTTATCTTGTCTAAATTGAAGGGAAAGATGCCACCTGAGTGGCACCAGTGGTGTCTGGAACCTGTGAGGGTGTTCCAGGATAGTATTGTCGTGTGCTTGTCATCTTCTGATGGTCTTCCCTGTGCATCCACTCACTGTTGGCCACTGTGGGAAACAGTAGACTGGGCTGTTATTTGTCAAAACTGATGTTGAACTTTGAATGAGACTGAAATATTTGTTTCTGTTTCTTGGTTTGTTTGGTTTTTGTTTGGTTTGTTTTTTTTTTTAATGGTGACTGTTTGCATTCATTAGTCCCCTCTGATACGACTTCAGTATCTTCTGCGGGGTTTAAAGGACTGCAGTTTTCATGGCCTTTTACACTTTAGGTTCTCCGATACAATTAGTCGGGTAAACTGGAAGCATGGATGAACACATTTTTGTGTAATTGCAATAGTTGGTCTGGTAGTTGTGATTCTTGATTTGTTTGAAAGAAAATACTTGAAGTGGTTATATTATCTAAAAAAAAAAAACTGTCTGGGCTATATATTTTTTTAAATTTCCCCACCACTAAGATGGATTTGGAGACTTGTTTCTTTCTGAAAGTTTTTTGCACAAATAAAATTGGCTCTGATTTGATCCAAATTATTTTTTAGATTCCTGATTTTTTATCAGGAATTTTTAAATTCCTAAATTTCTGTATCTTTGCCTTTTTAATGTTATGCAAATTACTGTGAAAGTTATGCAAGTTGTGATAAAAGTGGATTAATAGATACCACAATGCTAATGGTCGCTAGGACAGAAAAAAGTCTCCTGGATTCTATTAAGGGCTCTGTCAGATTGGCTTAAATGTAATTATTGAACTTCTCTTGTCTCAATTTGAGAATTGTAAGGCTGAATCAATAACTTCATCCTTTAATGTGACAGAATGTACAGGTTTCATTAGCTTCTGTAACAGATCTTAGCATAAGAAAATGTTTATCAGTAGTCTGAGAAAATCAAAATGAGAAGACTAAGAGAGCAAGAAAATATTGAAAAGGATGTAATTGATCAGTATGAGAGAACGTGTGACCTAAGTTGTAATTGACTTTTTTTTCTTTCTTAATGCAGGCTTTTCAGAAGAATTTGGCTCAATCTGAGAGAATAGTAGTGGTAGGAAATGGTGGGATTGCACTTGAATTAGTGTAAGTAAATGACTAAATTTTAAAGATACATAGGCAAATAAAATCTTGAACAATGCTATGTTAAAGCCAGTGTGTGAGAGTTTGGGAGAAGGCTGACTTATAAAATTGTAGCTCTTAAAGCCTTTAGTAGCAAAATTTATTAAAATAACTCTTTCACAGTATAGCAGCGCTTATTGTCACGTAAAATTCAGCAAGCTTTAGAAGGCACTTTGACACATACATATCAAGAATATACAGCATTTTTCTGATTTGTCACTAACAGATTCTTGTTAAGACTGTTAAGGGCAATATTTAAGTTATAAAACTTGACTGACTTCTGGAGACAGAAGATGTAACAGGAATAGAGAGGCAGCTTATCTTGCACCCAGCCTAATTTAAGTTGATAGAGCTTTTGAAGTGTCTGACATGGCCTTTGTCACAGGTAGGATATTGAACTGTGTGGTCCTGCAGTCTACTAGATTACAGAAACATCTGTAGTACACAATTATATGGTCTTGTTTTGTGTGGGAGTCACTTTTTGACTTTCACTAGGTTGTCCTCTGCATGTCTCTACCAGTTCGTCTTCCAGGTAGTACAAAGAAGATCCAAATGCCAGTTCTTAGCAGTGGGCCAACTGGCAAAAATGCCCCTTTTTTTTTTTTTTTTTTTTCTTCATCGTGGGGAACAGGAAATAATAAGTATTATTATAAATTTGATCTAAGTCCCCTCACCCCCAACCCTGGTTCAGTTGAAGTTGTGCTGGTGAGAAAGTATGACTATCAACTTAGAGATTCCCCCAACCCCAATGTGTTCCTTGTGTAAATATTTAGAAGCAGTAGTGGATTTGATAGGCTTAAAAGTCTTGGATCCCTTATTTCTAGCTTCTGGAATGAAAGCTGGCATGCTTCTAGTTGTGTTGCTAAGAGTCAGATCCCTTTCAGGTAGTCTGTCGCTTTATCCACTGTTCAAATGTCCACAGGTACGAAATTCAAGGCTGCGAAGTAATCTGGGCTATCAAAGACAAAGCCATTGGGAACACTTTTTTTGATGCAGGAGCAGCTGAATTTCTCATTCCAAAGCTAACTGCTGAAAAACGAGAGACTCCAATTGAATGTAAAAGAACCAAGTATACAACGGAAGGTATGGTGTTTTAGTTTCCTAACACTGCAGCAGCAGCATTTAATATTAAAGATAGTCCTAAGATCAGTTAATTTAGGCCATAAATAAGGTTGACTGTTATCATCAATGGCATTTCCTTCTTAAAAAAAAAAAAGTTAAAAAGTGATATAAAAACCCATCCAGAACTGATGTAGACACATGGCAGCATGTAATAGTTACCTAAAAACTGAAAAAAAATGTGCTCATCTTTATAGCTGTGCCAAGTTTACATTGCATTTCCTGTATTCCACCTGCTGAAGAACCCGTTCTGTTTTCTGTAATATTTTAATGTTTTTCTGAATTATGTCAGCATTACGTAGGAAGGAGCTCTCCCATGACAAGCTATTGGAGGACCAGATGAAACTTCACAGAACGTTCTTACAGATGCAGTGAAGCTGCAGTCTTCATCACAACAGTTAACTAGGACTGCATGAACAAACATTAGACAAACATATATATGACCAAAATAACAACAAAATAGCATGGTTCTAGACTTCAGGTTGGAAGAATAAATTGTAAAAGAGTCAGCCTAAACATCACAAAATGGCACCACAGTTCTTCAAATGTATCGTGGTATGTCAGAATTCGCACTTCCGTGCACCGGAGGGGACGGTGCACATTTGCTAGCAGATGGATGTCAATTTAAATGTTAGCATTGATACTAAGCAACTAAGTCTACCATGGGTCTCCAGAACCCTGGTACTGTTGGGGGTCAGTCTCTGTGCAAGAACTTAACAGTGGCATGGTTGTTTCGGAGATGAGTGAAGTAATGAAAGGCATAAAGTTGAAAGGTGTTAAAAATAATTGGCTTGGAGTTTGATTTGTCTGCAGATTAATGGGGTTTGGGACATTACACATTTTTGTCTTCCTTCCTGGCAACCAGATCATATATCTTTTAATTGAGAATCCTCGTTCTGAATTCTGCAGGCAATGTAGTATGCAGGCTAAATCCGATATTCTCCGTCTCTTTCCTTCAGGAAGTGAGGAAAAAGAAAGACCTATAGCAGCATCTGACAAACTGGGCAGTGCCTTAGGCCCCGATTGGCATGAGGGCTTATGTCTTAAAGGGACTAAAGAGGTATGGTCATAATCTTGCTTACACGTTTGTTTGAATGTTGCTTTAAGTGGGTAAGGATGACAGAACGTGAAATGTCACATTCAGGATTATTAGAAAAATAAACCCAAAAACGTGCTTGAACTGATTCTCTTGTTCTCTCAGAACTAAACAGGAAAATATGTTAACACAAATAAAGTAATTTTCTGCTTGAAGAAGGTGGCTGATCAGATCCACTGGCATAGTTTTAGTGGTTTGCTCTTCAGGTTGAAACATAAATGTTGGTTTGCGTGTTTCTGTAGGACTGGTGTCCAGTGGTGGAACCAGAAGCAGTGGTTCCTCTATTGTCCTGATTTTAGCTGCCATACGTACGTTTTCTTATGTGAAAAATAGGATTTGTGCAGAGGTACAGGGAACATCCGTCAGTCTCCTGTCACAGCAGATAATGAAATGCAAAATCAGTAGCGGACATGAGCGTTGTGAAGAGTTTCACATTTGAAATAAAGTAAAAATCCTCATGTTTCGTCGTTTTTTATCAGGTTTTTATTCATTAATTTCTTAGCTGTTAGGTGTTTGCATCTGTTACTCATTTGAAAACCAAAGCCTTTCAAAGGCGATCAGTGATAGATTCTACAGAAATGGCTTTACAATACCAGCTGAAGGATGCTTAGGATATTCAGCAGAGTAATCAGTGGTATTTTGGCTGTTGAAGGCTGTGGAAATGTGTTTGTGTAGTGGAGAATAAATCCATTCAAGGCCTGCCTGAATCCACAAAACGGCTCAGAGGAACAGGTAGCTTTCCAACTTCTATCTCGAGCTCAGAATAGGAGTAAGTGGTTGAAACATGGGTTGATGGAACAGGATATATTTTCTTTTTACACCATTTAGGACATCAGCTTATTATTGTTACCAGAATTTAATTTATGAGAGAAAAAATAAAGGATTTGAAATACTGAAAGATAGAAGAGATGAATTTACTTTTTTTCTGTTCTGATAAGTTCTGAACTCTCTTCTGTAAACTCAGGGGAACTTGAATATGTTTTCTGGCATGCCAGAAAAATCTAAATTGTCATGAAATTTCAAGGAACATCAGGTATCTGCTGAAAAGGCAGGTAAACTGCCATTTGCTATGGTTAGATCTGTGCCAAAAAAGGAAAAAGCATGGGAACTCAGCTAATGTGTCATGCTTTAGGATGGGATAGATGTTGGTTTTTGGTTTGGTTTTTTTTTTTTTTCCAGTTTAGTAATGTGAATTTAGATGAAGGTACACTTCCTATTAAAAATATTGTTATTGTTAATCATTATGTTCACCATTTTGTCAATCTTTCTTTAGTTTTCTCACAAAGTACATATTGAAATACTATGTGAAGTAAAGAAAATACATTTACAGCAAGAATTTATACAACTGCAACGGACTTCTTTGACTTTTCCTAAGGAAGAGAAAAATGTAGAACCAGATGAGGGTAGGTGCCAGCGCTGATTAGAAATAACGTGTTGAAGATAAAGTAGTGCTGGAGCATGTTTCATCTTGTTTGTTGTTTTAGAGCAAATACAGATTTGGAAGAAATATCGTTTGTTTCTATAAATTAAATGGAACTCTAGCAATAGTAGTTGAGAATTTGATTTATGGGCTACAATTGAATTACAAAATGTTATGGGTCAGACTCTTTTTCCACAAAGTCACCTAAATCCTGTATGCAGAATATTCCCTCCTTGTGACAGTCCAACAAAGTCATACATTAATAGTGGAGTTAAAAAAGAAGCCAAAAAAACCCAGAAGCATTTAATGTCAAAACTGATGTAGTCCTTCAAAGAAAGTAGAAGAAAATATCACTTGTTTCATGAACAATTCAATCTATAAATTCCACTGAATGAAAATTCATATTTAAAATACTATTCTAATAGCCGGTTACTTTCAGCATAAGATTCTAGAAAGTCAAATCTCGGACGTTCTTCTTGCTTTTGAGGCATTTCCTGTGCATCTGTAAATTTATATGCAAATATTTGGCAATTGCATACTCCAGAGAACATCCCGTGGGTCTGAAGCAGTGGCAGGACACAGTATTTTCCCCCTACAAATGAGGGCTTTGATTTAGGAAAATTCCAGAGAAAGTTAATAGTAGGACTTGGAGCTAAGCTCCAAAATCTCATTTTTCTAGTCCTGAGTGAAGGTAAGAAATGTTATAGGTAATCTCTGGTTTTCGGGGGTGGGGGGTATTTTATTTTATTTTTCCCCTACCTAATCAATTAGAGATCTCAAAAGATTATTTTTTCTTCTTTTTATTTCATGTCTTGTTATAAGACATCATTAATAAAATAACTTCTGTTGGTTACATTCTCAGGGCAAAATTTTCCCCTTTTTCAGTGCTATGGCCTGTATATGTGGAATTAACTAATGGAAAAATTTATGGATGCAATTTCATTGTCAGTGCAACTGGAGTGGTGCCAAATGTTAAACCATTTCTTGATGGCAATAATGTAAGTGTACCGATTTCTTTTTGAAGTTTAAGCTGGTTTTTTTAAAGTAAGGTGAAATAAGCTCTTTCAGCTGGTTTATGCTTCTGACATGAAACATTGATAAAGGTTTTGAATGTTGTACAGCCTTTCAAAATAAGGCAGGTATGTTGATACTGGAAATACCCAACATGACAAAAATTAATTTCATTGATTTCATTACTATTCTTGGCTTATTATATTGCTACTCATGGTATGTACTGATACACGGTATATATACAATATACGCTGTTAAGCCTATACAAAGAGAGAAAAACATTTGTATAATTGGTTAACGTGGCAAAAATTCAGAATAATTTTTGTGTTAATTCTGTACCATTTTCTTATCTTACAAATCCTAACATTTTCTCCTGGCAAGAAAGCAGTAATTTCCAATAATTTTCATCTAGAAAACCGAGCTCGTGGGTGAGCTCGAAAAGGTGCTCATATTCACGGAGGGAAGTCACACTTTGAATCAGCATCTGAACATGGATGATGATTACGGAGTTCATAGCTGCTGTGTGAATTTTCAGGCCTTGAAATCATTCTGTCCTTGTGTTGGGTGTCAGGTTTAGCCCCGACCGGCAGCTCAGCACCACTCAGCAGCTCGCTCGCTCCCCCACTGGGATGAGGGAGAAAGTTGGAAGGGTAAAAGTGAGAAAACTCAGGGGTTGAGATAAAGACAATTTAAGCAAAGTGAAAGCTTTGCGCGCAAAGCAAAACAAGGAATTCATTCACCACTTCCCATCGGCAGGCAGGTGTTCAGCCACCCCCAGGAAAGCAGGGCTCCCTCACGCGTTAGGGTTACTTGGGAGGACAAGCACCCCTTCCTCCTCCTGCTGCAGAGCACAGCATCCTGTGGCTTGGGGCATCCCTTGGGTCAGTTGCCCCGGCTGGGTCCCCTCCCAGCTTCTTGTCCACCCCAGCCTTACCGCTGGCAGGGCAGCGTGAGAAACAAGAAAGGCCTTGATGCTGTGTAAGTGCTGCTCAGCAACAACTGAAACATCCCTGTGTTATCAGAACAGTTTTCGTCACAAACCCAAAACAGCCCCCTACAAGCTACTATGAGGAAAATTAACTCTGTCCCAGCCAAAACCAGTATGTGAGGGTATTTGGCGTTTTGCAGCTCCTTCTGACTAGGAAGTAAAACACTACCCTCTGAATAAAGCAGAAGAAAATTACGAAAACGTACATCTGATGTTGAGCCATGAAATATTTCAAGGCCTGCGTTACAAAGTTAGATTAGGCGTTAAGTATTTGCAAATGGCATTTTCTGGCCTTGGCAAAAATACAAAACGAACTAAGACTTGGTGTCCCTGTAACATACGTAGTGTGACTTGAAATTTGGCAAGCTCTGTTACATCCCTGCCTAGGGATCAGTAATATTTTAAAAACCAATGCTGTGTTCTAGAAATAATCCTTAATGCTTTGTATCTTACCACGGAGGTCTTGCCACTTTAGATAGTCTCATGTTAAATAATTTTATTCAGTATGTAATGCTATTCTGAGCTTCTTTTAATACATAGTTAGAGATATTTTAAAGGATATGTGAAGGTCACTTGGAAAATGCAACACCGATCTGCTCTTAAACCTGGTGAGAAAAGAATGCAGAGATTGCTAGGAAATTCTGCTTCTGTAGGGTAATTTTGTCTTCGCTTATTTGAAGCCTCCTATGTTTGATAAGATTCAGGGTAAATTCTGCAGGTCCAGGGCTGCATTATAATATGGGGAAGTAATACTTTTATATGTGGACAGTTGTAAAAAATACTTCGTTATGGCACTCTTTGGGGGATCTGTTTTCTTCCCTTGAAGATGGAGGAGTCTTGAGATTGTGAGGTTTGAACACCATGTTTCTCTTGTGGTTATCAGTCTTTTTGAATTGAGTCAGATGGGAGAATAGCCATAAACTGTTTACGCTGAACGACCTTTTCCTCTGTTGCTATGTGGCATCCAGAAGAGCATCTTTACTGGGTTCCTGTAGTATTTATTCATATAATTTTATATCTTCAAATGTTTTGGTTAAGCAGAATAGTGAATTCGCTGAAATTTTTTAGGAGTCTGCCATTAAAAAGTAACAAATGAGACGACTGCTTAACATGGATGAAGTTGAATTACTTAGTTTAAATGATTATTTTTCTTACTGCTGATCTGTGCAAATACTTTAGTTTGCTGTAGGTGAAGATGGAGGTCTTAAAGTAGATAAACACATGCACACATCCCTGCCAGATATATATGCAGCTGGAGATATCTGCACGGCGTCGTGGGAACCTAGTCCAGTGTGGCATCAGGTAAATCAAATCATACGATTGCGCGCTCAGCAGCAGTCTAATCTACAAAGTAAATGACACACTATTACACAGATGGGAGAAAAGAAAGTTTAACTGAAGCGGAAACCAGTGAACAAGTAGATAATCCTGGGTGTCTCGATGACAGATAATTTCATCTATGTGGCTGAAAGCCAAGCTGTTCAGCCTGAGTATAATGAAAATACCTAGCGTGCATGGATGAGAACAGCGAGCGTCGCTCATTGCACAGTGATGCGTATCTGTGTTTTTAAATCTTTTCAATTTTTTTTTTTAGATGAGACTGTGGACTCAAGCTAGGCAGATGGGATGGTACGCAGCAAAATGCATGGCAGCGGATACTGTAGGGGAATCTATTGATATAGATTTCAGCTTTGAACTATTTGCTCACGTTACAAAATTTTTCAATTACAAGGTAAAGTAAATACAGTGTAACAGTCTTGAACCACTGAGTAACACACATACCGCTTGCTTATATTCACTTGCCAACACTGAGCAGATGCTTTAATATTGACAAAACTGTTTTCTGTCTATAATAATTAATCTTACATTTCGATTTTCTCTATTCACGCTAACTTGGAATGCTGAACCTGAAGAGGGCAAAATCTTTACAGACATATTACAAATTTTAATTGGTGAATGACAACTGATCTACTTAGCATCTCTCTATATATTCCATTTCATTGAGTTTCTTTCATGGATAAATTCAACACAGTTCAGCATGGTGACTGGTTCATTATTGGTTTGTGTATGATATTTCAAGGTGAAAATCTTTAATTCTGTTGTGGGTTTGAAAGCCAATGGAGGGGGGAGGTTCCCTAGGGACAAATACTTCCCTATTTACATGAGTCTTTTGAAGCATAGAACTGTTACCAGCAGAAATACTAAAAGCCACTGCAGTGATCTTATGAGTGCTTTTTCTTTTTCCTCCTGTTAGGTGGTGGTTTTGGGAAAATACAATGCTCAGGGCTTGGGTTTAGACCATGAACTGATGCTGAGATGTACCAAGGGACAAGAGTATGTTAAAGTAGTGATGCAGAATGGCCGAATGATGGGAGCTGTGCTGATTGGTGAAACGGACTTGGAAGAAACGTTCGAAAACTTAATTTTAAATCAAATGGATCTTTCAGCCTATGGTGAAGATCTCCTGAATCCAGATATCGATATAGAAGATTATTTTGATTGAAGAAAACCCCATTTCCAGTTTGTATAAAGTTTTGACACCGAGTAATATGTCTTATAAAACTGTTTTCTCAGGATTACCAGAAATGAGGGATAAATGCAATTCCTTATTAAGATTTTCTATTGATCTTGTCAAAATACTGACCGGCAAATTAAATTAATCTGTGTAGAAATGCAGCAGCAATAGCAAGTGGATTAGTGTTGGCAAAGAGTTTTCGTCTAGATTAGATGAGCGTATGGGAACGGGGCTCTAACAGTCTTAAAGAGTGGGCTTCACTGTGCCGTTAAGATCGCGCTGCGTTCACTTGAACGCAAGGTAGCCTTCTAAATAAAACCTGGTAAATCCTGTGCCTGCCTCATAGCTCCCTTCTTCCCCGAACCATGCATAAGTCACCTGCCGTGGTTACCAGAGCCCAGTTTCCCCGTGGCTTACTGCCACGCGCGTTCCTCCTCTCCCCAGCAAGCCGCCCTTGTGAGCCAGGATGCCGTGATGTGACGGTGCTGCCTCGCCTGCCTGAAGCTGCCTGCGGGCTTGGGCGGCGTGAGTGTTGGCTAGGGTGGGAGAGCCTCTGCTTCCTCAGACCGCTGGCTCAGGTGAACGTTGACAAGGCAGTCACGCAGTGCCTTACCACCCCACTGCTCAGACCTGCGAGTACTTGCCACGGGTTTCAAGGCTCCTGTTCCAGCGAATGGTACCACCTCTGTCGAGCGGGCTCAGATGAACAGACGACATCTTTAGGGCGCTCGGAGCTCTCGCTGCCTGGAATGTGATCTGCAAATATACGGCAAGGTGGATGCTTTATCTTCCCCCGCCGAGTTTATTTGTGAAATAAATGTATTTTCTACTCAGCTAAGTACGGAACACACAAACTTTGGACAATGAAAGCCCAGGCGAGATGTCAGTTGAGAGCAGCTTTTTCACTTCAGCTTTCAGGTATTGCGGCAGAGCTGTGCTGGCGCGTCCCATCTGGCCTTCCGCAGGACCAGTGTGCGGTGCGCTCCCAGGAGAGGCTGGCAGGACAGCCCTGGCCAGGGCCTGTGGGGCGGCTGCTGTATCCAGACTGTGTGGTAGATGGTACTGGATGCCATTTTGGATGCGAGTCCTGTATCCCAGTGGGATTCTTAATAGACAACTATTACAGTCACTTAATGAAAACGTTCATGGGGACTGTGTGTCTTGGTCACTTTCTGCCCTCTCCTCATTTCCACTGTCGTGCAGATTGGTTCCAGGAAGGAATTTTTGCAGGTACTGGACTCCAATTTGACCTGCAGTAACGAGTGACAAAATTAATCTACTATTAAGTTGCAAATGGCGGTTTAAGCTGTTTTCAATCATAGCCAGCTCCCTGACTGGATGTTTAGTTATGCAAGATGCACTTTAATAATAGCGATGTGTGCGTACAGGCTTGCTGCGGTCAAGTTCCTTCTGTTCTTAGTTGCTAGGCATAATTTAGTGCCTAGGTGATAAAGCCCAATAACTTAAGCTATTCTTTAATGTTTTCTCCGTATTCCATAGTGCCATCCGTGGACAGAGGTTGTTTCGTGCTGGCTTTTGGTTTTGTTCTAATTTTGTTCTAAGTTTGTATTCATCTGAATGTGTGTATGTGGGCATCCAAAATGAAACCGACCCGAAGTTACGTTTATAATGTTTGAACTTGCCTTACTGATCAGTGGCTGCTAAAATCCTAGAAGACAAAAAACCCCCTAATCTAGCGTTCAGCCCTGTGCGTGCCTAAGCGATGCCTGAAGTCAGCTGTAGCCGTGGCGTCTTTACCCCTCTGGCAGCACAGTTACTTGCTTCTGGAAAGACTGATGTTCATCAAAGGAAGTCAACAGCAGGTATCTATTTCTGCTTCACATACAGGTAAATATTCTCCCTGCTGAAATGGGAGGCAGAATTCTGTAGCTGAAGATTTTCTTCAGTCCAGAGAGATTCCCGAGGAAAGAGACCGTGACCCGTAGTGTAGGATGGCCGCAGTTCAGCTCGCAGGATGTGGCGTCCTGCATCCCAGGCTGGGTTAGGCGTGGAAAGAAAAGACTCGGTGGCACTTAATTAGACAATGCAGAAGGTGGGACTCGGCAAATAAAACAACGTTGATGCACTTTAAATAACTGATTTCAGAGGATGTTGGTTATATAACCATACGTACACTTACGTTTGGGAAAAGTAGGAATGGGAAAAAGCTCATACTAAGCCCTCCACTGCAAGAGAACTGAAGCTTTTAACGTACCCTGACACTTGCCTGTGCTGAAAAACATCTGCTGTTCTGAACTCTTCAAGCACCCCCTCAGGTCTATTTCAACATAAGAAAGAACGTTTTTATAGCGAGAGGCACCGGTCGCTGGTGCAGCCTCCGCAGGGCAGTGGCAGAGGCCCCAGCGCAGGAGGTTCTCAAGGCGCAACTGGCCAGGGTGCTGATGATCTCGCACAGGCTCCCTTTCCCACAAGAGGCTGGACCAGATCTTTCAAGGTCCCTTCCCAGCTGGGCTGCTCTGTGGTTCTGTGGTGCCTCCGTGTGGAACAGTGCTTTCCTCCTTGTTTGGGAAAGACAGACCATCACCTTCCTCAAGTCTGCTTACTGTATGAAAATGAGCCTTCCGTTATTATGAAGCTTTTCCTTTTATATAATTAGTCAAATGTAAATATTAAGATGGCACTAGTGTTCTAGCAACTTCTTGAAGTACATGTGAGAAAAGGGAGGTCACATGGTTCTAGGTTGAGATCAGGCTCAAAGGAGGTAGTAAGGGTAATCTCCTGGATACTGAACTTATCCCAACAGCCTTTTACAGTCCTGGAATTAGGGGCTCAATACACATCACCTGCCTGCGTAGAGGAAATCCAGAACCCTGAAGGGCAAGGAAAGGTCCACTCGCTCTTATTTGTACCTTTCATTCTTTTTACTAAACAGCGTAACCATGGCATCTGCATTTCTGAGATGAAGCACTGCCTCAAGGATAAGCCCAGCCGCTGTTGCTGCTCAGGAACTAAGAGTGCAGACAGAGCTGCTCTTCAGGCCGTTTCCCTCAGCCCAGCTGTTCTTGCTCCCAACACTGACAAACACAAGTGGAACTGAAAGCACCACGTCCTCAGTAGCAGCAAAAGGCCTTGTGGTTACTAAACGCTAGGATGTCAGTAGCAGCTCATGTTTTTCCAAACTCAACAAGGTAATGGCTCAAGCATTCTTTTTTATCGTCTCTCCCTTTGTACCTACTACACTAAGGTCCTCCCATGTTCAGTCTCAGGTCCTGACAGTGTTCAACTTTGAATATAATTTTTCTACCTTTCTAGAAAAAAAAAAGTATCAGTTTCAATCTAAATTAAAATTCTACCATAATTTCTGAATTATCAATCAGATTCCCACTACTTGTGAAACATTTTAAAAACTGTCTTCTGTTCTACTCTTACTTGGTAATCCTGAGTGATCTTCATCATCTTTCTTCTCTCAACTATTATAGTTTTGATTAAGCTTTCATCATTGAACCTGTGTATTTTGGAAATACACACTCAGTGTTCACCCGGACAGGTATTTAATTTTATTTAATATTCAGCTTTGTGGGATGAGGTAAGGTACACTTGCAGCAGTAAGCACTGGCTCCCTCTTACCTTGACAGAACCAAGACGTTGTGTGAAAGGAATCGTCGGTGCATCAGAAGAGACAGGCTGCTCTTTAAAATGGTGGAGACAGACTACTTCAGGCTGCAGGCAAGCAGTGACATTCTCCTGTAGTTGCTTTCTCTTCTCCGTTTCCACAAACAACAGGACCATGAGCAAATGGACAGGTGGAATAGCAAAGTTAGGAGACCCGCATTCAGAAACCTCCCAAAGATTGTTTAATGTAGCCCACATTTAGGGCTTAAAGTATGCAACTTCCAATGCAGTCACGTTCTAGTGCTTAGAGAGCAGAAGAGTATTTCTTAGGGCAACCAGATTCACTTCCAATTAGAAGACAGATCTGCAGTTGGAATATAAGCCAGTTCAACAGGGGAAGGAGGGGAAAAAAGAGAGACAAGCATTTCTTGAGTGGTGTTTTTTTCCTGTATTTCCCAAATGAAGTATAACGTGTACAGAGGGAAGAGCTGAGATCAAGAAAAGTTGTCTTGTTTTTAAACATAAATTTAGGTCCTTCTGAAAAGCACAGAAGTGGTGATTTTCTACTTGAATAACAAGCTAGAGATAGCCAGTTCTAAGAACAACAGACATTTTAAAGGGATAAATACATACAGTATTTCACAAAAATCTCTACAAGTCAGCAGTAGTGCAATGTTGTATCAATGCCCTGTTGAAAGTCTTCTCTGAAGTACACTCCAGTACCCAAATAAGCTGTAGTAGGTGTAAGCGTTGCAGAAGCAGGCCACATCTCTCTGCTCAAAACTGCAGTGATGGTGATGCCCATGTGAGCTGGAACAACCGCCCCGGCACGGCCGAGGCTTTGACCCACACACGGCCCCAGAGGAAGGGTGCTGCAGCAGCCCGGGTCCCCGGATGTCTGACGTCTCCCCCTGGGGCTGGCGACAGCAGCCTCGCTGGTGGGAGCTGTGCTCCGGTTGCAGTGGCGAGTTGCTGGGTGAAGGAGCTGCAGGAGGAGCTTAGCAGTCGCTGTAGCAGCCAGAAGGAGGAACAGGAGGTGACAGGGTCTTCACAGAGACTCTGCAGAGCTAAGGAGCACCCGAGTCCTGCCCTGCAAAGGAGGGAAAACCTTGAGACTACCCTCTCGGGAGCCATGGGTGGAGACTCCCACAGGAGGGAAAGCTGGAAACCTCTTACTTCCAGCAACACAAAAGGGCTCCTTTTCCACCTGCAGCTCTGCCGTTGCACAGCAGGTACAGTGCCCTGAGAAAGACGAGGATGACTACTCCACCAAGGGATGCATCAACGCCAGCTGAACCTGAGCCAAGTGTTCACACAACGAAGAAAAGGAAGACGAGAGTTACCAGAGAATCCCTCCTGTGGGGGGCAAAGGCCCTCATTGCCAACCTGACTTGGAGACATCAACAAGTTTGTTTCTTACTAGGTGCCCGGATCCCAGCTGTTGCTCAGTGACCGAGTGATTCAGGATTTTAACAGAGAAGTCAGGAAGACACAGTAGAACCACTACCCTGGAGCTCAGGAGAGCAGATTTCAGCTTGTTCTGGGATTTGCTTGTCAGGATCCCAGGGAGACTGCCCTGGGAGGCAAAGGGGCTCAAGAAGAACTGCTTGATATCCAAAACACAACCTCCTCAAAACACAAATAGTCTATTCCTACGTGCAGAACGTCAAGGA